TGATATCATCTTCTATGATTTTCCTCCCACATTCATTCTGTTCCAGCCATGTTGGAGTCTTGCTGTTCCTCCAACAAACCATACTCACTGCTGCCTCAGGGCCTTTGCATTTGATCTTTCTTTTGTTTGGACTGACCATTCTTCCCTCAGATATCCTTATGACTTCCTCCCTCATTTCCTTAACATCTCAACTTGAACACTGCCTTATCAATGAGACTTCCATTGACCACCCTATTCAAAAGTGCAAAAACCAAAACCAAAACCTCTGTCCCCTTGCACTCCCTATCCCCTTACTCTGCTTTGTTTTTCTCTATGGAACTTATCACCATCAGATGTACTATATATTTACTTGTTTATTTTTCATGGTATCCCTTTCTACCACTGAAACATAAGCTCCATCAAGGCAGGGACTTGTTTTATTCATTGCTGTATTCCCAGAGCCTAGAACAGTGCCTGGCATATAGAAGGTATTCAAAAATATTTATTGCATGAATTAATGAGTTCAACAAATAGAATTGAATACCCTATTTTAGACACTGATGATATAGCAGTGAACAAAAAAGGCAAGGTCCCTACTCTCAGGAAGCTTACATTTTAGTGAGAGAGACAGACAATAGATAAATGAACATGTATTATATTTATTCGTATACTATAACTTATGGACATAAATTATATTATAATGACCAGAAATGATAAGTACTATGAAGAAAATAAATCAGTGTAAAGTAATTGAGACTGGCAATAGTGTCATTTTAGATGGCATGTGAGGGAAATCTTTTTGAGGCAGCACTTGACAGAATCCTTGAATAAAGTGCAGGAGTGAGCCTTACAGAGGCCTGGAGGAGAGCATTTCAGACAGACAGTCCATCAAGTACAGTGGCCCTGAGCCTTGGTTTGACCAAGGAAAAGCAAAAGCCAGTGTGTGGGGCAGAAAGAGAGAGAGACAGACAGACAGACAGACACAGAGGCCATGGTAAGCGCTTGGGATTTTTCTCTGAGGAGGCAGAAAGCCATTGGAGGGTTTTGAGCAAGGCAGTGATAAGATCTGATTCTCATTTTAAAGGATAACTTTGGTGCTGGGTGGAGAATAGAATGTAAACGGGACAGAGCGAGATGAGTTGGGGGTACTGCTGCATTAGGTGAGAGATGAATTTGGGTAGTAGCAATAAAGGTGGGGAGAAATGGTCGGATTTGAGACTATACTCATATATATCATAGACAGGATTTGTTGATGAATTAGGTGTGAAATGAGAGAGAAAAAGATTAAAGGATTACTCCAGGGTTTTGGCCTGAACCACTGGAGGAATGTCATTTACTGAAATGGTGAATATTCAAGGAGAAATGGATTGGGGGTGGTGCTTAAATCAAGATCACCTAAGGTGTGTATATAGATAGGGGCTAACTGGTTAGCTCAGCTGGGTAGAGCATGGTGCTGATAACACCAAGGTCCACGGTTTGATCATCCAGCCACGCCCACCCCCCGCCCCCCAATTAGAGAAATCCAAGGATTGAACCTTGGGATACTCAGGAAAATGAGGAGGATTAGACAAAGGGGACTAAGAAAGATACAAGGGGACTTCAAAGAGTTAATGGAAAGATTTGTATTGTCTTTTAATTTTATTTTTCCACACACTTTTTGAAGTACTCTCAGACAAGAGAGATAGGACAGGGTGGGATGCTGGAAACCAAATGAAGAAAAAGTGTTTTAAGAAAGAGGAAAAGAAAAAAACACAAGTACCAAAAGAAACAAAAAAAAAAAAAAGGAAAGAAAGAGGAAGTGATCAATTGTGTCAAATGTCTGAGAGGTGGAGTAAGATAGGATTGAAAATTGATCACTGGATTTGGCAATGGAGAAGTCACTGAAAAAATGGTTCCAGTGGGGTGGTGGGCGAGTGAAAGCCTGCTGCTAGTGAGGGGAAGTGCATCTGACAGATTTGGGATCAACTAGTACTAATTATGGGCCTTGGGCAGTTTAACCTCTGCCTTTCAGTTTGCTCATCTGCCTAAAGGAAATCACACCACCTTGCTCATAAAAAATGTGATCCAGACTAAATAAGATTTTAGAAATTCTTAAACTATATGCAAAATCAACCTGAATGTTTTAATATGTTATCATGTTTAATGATATATGTTTAAAAAAATAGAAAAGAAACAAATATGTATTAAAGGCCTACTATAAGACAAGCACTTTGCATGTTTGATCTTACTTGATTTTAACTAGTCTGAATATAAACACACTAAAGGGCTGTCACCTTTTCTTTAAGAAGATAAAACCCAATATAAAAAGACCAAACAGAAGTAACAGTAACAGCGTGATCCTGAACATTCCATTTTATTATTATTGAAATAATTAGTGCTCAAAATCTTTTTAAAAAGATTTACATCTGACTGCAAGATAGACTTCTGATACTCATGCTAGAGAAAGTGAGCAGTTCACCCACTTAGTAACATTTTCAGATAATATGACCTTGTGGGTTTTTTCTTCAAACAAACAAACAAACAAACAAACAAAAAAAACCCTACGGTTTCTTTCAAAGACATGTTAACCAATCTAGCTGTGTATATATACCACCCTGGTAACAATTTGTACACTTGTATACTTGTTTCTGTTTTCCTGTAGGGTTTAGCCCTGTGACTTTGTAACACTGTGTTTTCTAGAAAATGTCCCTGAGATCCATCTCCTTCCTGAGCCACAGAGCCTTCTGCCCCTGCCTTCTTCGAGAGGGAGTGGCTGGCTAGCCTGAAGCAGATCTATCTTCCAAAACCACCCTTTTCGTTCCTCAGAGTTCAGAGGCTATGCTTTATTTTTAAAGAATAGCCTTCTCCCACACAGACCTGGGAGGTAAGCTACCCCAAACTGGGAAAGGGGTTTCCACCAGCAAGAGAAATCTAAGAACCATTGTTTTAGGTCTATATGCTTCTGAGCACAAATGTATACTTTTGTTGCAGAACATATACTTTGGAGCACAAATACTAAACCTTCTCCTCCTGCTGTTTCTGAATTTCTCTCTTCCTTATTCAAAGCCCTTTCACAGCTTGACCTCACTTTTTCCTTAGAACCACCTTCTCAGATTGGAAGGTTTTGGAGATGAGAAACCAGACTTGCCCAGGGCAGAATGCTCTGAGCACAACACCTTGCATCGCTGCACAGTGTAGTGGGAAGTGTACTGGCCTGGATGGTGTACACTGGTTTGTAGTCCCAGGTCTACTGGGGAACCTTCAGCATCACAAATTCTTCCTAGGCTTTTGAGTCTCTGCATGAAAAACATGAAGTGCAGGCGCTATCAAGTTCTAGCTGTCTCTGTTCCTCAAATGAGAACACTACGTCATGGAAATAGAAAAGTATAATGATGGTGGATTCCTCTGAGGCTGTGCCAGAGGAGAAAGAGTGGATATTGAGGATAATTCATTGTTTGATTTCTCTTGGCAATAAAAATTATACATGGTGACTAAAAAATTGCCTACTCTAAATAGTACCTTGGTACAAATGAGATTTTTCTTTCTATAATACCAAATAATCAAAATTTCAGATATTTCTTGGGAATTCTAGTAAACAGATTTCTTGAGAGTCATTTTTAAAGTGGCTATATCTCTTGAGCCTGAGATGAACGGGTAATTTCTATTTCCTTTTTTATCTTTTTATGTCTTCTCTGCATTTTCTGCTAATAATTAATAGTATTAATTCTTTAATTCTTTAATCAGAATAGGCTTTTTTTAAAAAAAGAAAAAATGGTTTTGTGCAAATGGAAGAGAGTAGAGGGAAAGAAACTTTAAAAACTAACAATGATGAAACCAACATTTACTGGGTATTATTTATTATCTGCTGGGCAGTAACTGGGCAATAACCGGCACATTTACTTCCTCCCAACTCTGGAAAAGAAGCTATTTATTATTATCCCCATTTTATATATAAGAAAAACAAAGCAGAGGAAGGTTATCTTTTTTTTTTTTTTTTTTTTTTAAAAGATGACCGGTAAGGGGATCTCAACCCTTGGCTTCCTGTTGTCAGCACCATGCTCAGCCAGTGAGCAAACCGGCCATCCCTATATAGGATCCGAACCCGTGGCCTTGGTGTGATCAGCACCGCACTCTCCCGAGTGAGCCACGGGCCGGCCTAGAGGAAGGTTAAATAACACTTCCAAAGTCACAGAGCTAGTAAATGCAGTTGGTGGGACTTCACCTACATGGTAGAATTCAGGACCTCTGCTGTTTTTCATTCTGCTGTACTGTCTCCTAAATGATCTAAAAATTAAGCATCCTTGGTTTTGAATACATTGTATAATTTTAGGGAACAGATTTATCATGCAAATTACATTTTATTTAGGTTAATATTCTCTGCACTCATATTAATAGAAGGCTGGAGGAAAGTAGTTTGAAACTGTGATAGATTTGTTAGTCAGATTTTGCCATGGATAAATGCAACTCTGTGCTAGGGTTAATTGTATAACAAACACTGGTCTACGCTGACATCTGAACTATTTTGTATAGTACCTCAAAGAAAGTTGAAAGAAGGTGATTAGAATTGATTTTTAAAATCTGGGAACAGGGGCCGGCCTGTGGCTCACTTGGGAGAGTGCGGTGCTGATAACACCAAGGCCCCGGGTNAAACCAGGTTCTGATCGTGAGGGGTGTGAGGTGATCAGGGGGCTTGGGGAAGCTGCAGCATAGTTCAGCGAAAACTGGTTATACTTTGCAATAGTCAAATCTGTGTTTAAAACCTGGCTGCTTCTTAACATGTGACTTCAATTTCCTTTCTTAACCTGAGTCTCAGTTTCCCCATTTAAAATGTCTAACTTTCAGGGATGCTGTGAGTTTGGGCCAGAGGGGAGAGGGGTTTATCCGGGCTCTTCCTTGATCCTTGTTTTCATTTCCACCCCAAGATGGAGACCCTAATGTGCTGACTCATTCCAGGAACACTGACTGGGTCACATGAGAAAGGTTGTCTTTGTTCTTTAGCTTGTCAGAATGCCAGAAATTTTCTGGCATGGAAAGAGACCCACCCATTGTTTTCCTCTACAGCCTTTCTGCTCTTTCTTGAATGCATGCTGCAGGTAGTAAGTGGCCAGTTCTCTCTCTTCTGCTTTTTGCTTCCAGGTGACCTAAGTGGCAAAGAGGATGAGAACTATTTCCGTAGGAGAAAAAGACCTGTTCATCCTGTTCTCATTGCCTCTGGCATCTCTTCCCTTCAATTTCCTTTATCCCATGTGACCAGCTGGTGGTAACATTTGGGTTTAGACTCAAGGAGAAGGAAGGTTTTAATCAAGCCATTGTNGCCCCCCCCCCCCACACACACACACGCCAAGAAAAGCTTCATTGCCACTATCTCATTTTGTGTAAACAATGCAGTTCCTGTCCTGCCCTCAGGAACTTCAGCTACCGGCCAAGGAACCTCAGCTACTTTAGGGTTTTTGAATGTTGGTCTTTGTCCTCTCATCCTCTACTTCCTGACTTTTCCATCGGCTCTCCTCCTGTGGCTGGATCCATTTAACTGCGTATCACATTTCAGGACATTAGATCAATCACAGAATTGATTTCAGGACCCAGGACTGAGGGCAGGCCTCATGCTCAATAAATATTTGCTGGATGAATAAATAATTGCTATAGGCATGGTCCTTCTGGACAAGCAATTTCATCTAATATTCCAGGGTAGAGAAGGATGCAACACTGCAAAATTCAAGATGGATTACCTATGCTAACCAAACCAGGTTCTGATCGTGAGGGGTGTGAGGTGATCAGGGGGCTTGGGGAAGCTGCAGCAT